ACAACAACAACAACAACAACAACAAGTGACCCAACCTTTGCAGGGAAGATCAAGTGGATAAGAAGCTGAAAAGGGATACAGCTTCACAGTATCATGCAAGACTAAAGAAGGATTTCAAGGAGGCTGAGGTTGAAAAGATTTTGAAGGTGAAGCACCAACGAGCAAATTTGCCTAAGCAATTGCATACGTCTATTGCAAAAATTGTAAGAGATACAAACAAGATTTATCAGGCAAGTCTAAAGGCCAGTACTGTGCGGAGACCATTGCAGTTGGGCTTGGAAAGATCCCCCTCCTACTAAAAAGGGGCAAAAGATGGCTCTTCCTGAAAAGATTGAAATGGCTTTTATTAATGCGATGACTTCTGGTGTGGTCAATCTCAGCTGTTCAGATATGAATGATCAACCTAAACGTCCAGAACTCTTGAGGAGTGTACAATACATAGTTTGAGTACACAGAGTAGCTAATAACTAGAACTTCATACAAGTAAAAAGAACAATTGGCTCGCTAACCCAAATATGAAGTACTTTCTACGGTGCAAAACCAAGTGAGTGCGAGGGTGAAAAGAACTTTTTTTGTCAAGGTACGACTTTATTTGCTATTTTGCTTCTTGTTCTTGTTGTACAGGTACCATAAGTGAACCTAACAATACTATTACTGTGCACTAGTTACTAGTACTACTACTAGTGGGGCTGGTTAATTGTTGGTCCAACACATTCATTTGAGCTTGTTTGACAGTTGATTTCTTGAAGTAGCATCTAGTATGAGCAGGAGTATCATGCATTTGGTGATGGTGCTACTACTAGTACTAGGTTCTTACTTCATCATTGATTGTCTTTTATCTTCTTAATTGTTGTAAAACCAAGAACAGTAAATTACTAGGATGAAGCAACACCAGGAATGAGATTTTACTACTAGTACTAGTACTAGTAGTAGTAGGAGGAGGAAGAAGAATAAATTCAAATAGCTGCCTCTGCTTCTTCCAGCAACAATTTTTTTAATACATTATTGAACTTCAGAAGAACTCAGTCTAACCTCAAAAACCACAAATGGATTGTAATTGACTATTGATTTTACAAAGAAGATGATCTATGAAGCTAAGGCATGAATACTTTCGTTCTTCAATAATTAACCGAATAAATCGTTCAAATATTTCTTGTATATTGCCATGAATTTGGCAACAAAGGCTTCCAAATGAAAGATATCCTTGCTTCCCATAGCAAGGCGATGTTCGTAAAAGGCTGCCCACTCGATAACTTCGAGCTTGACCGAGTCATCAAGATTATTCAGTAGCTCCCCCGTAAGACTCTTCAAGATGGTGCTTGCTGGAATACAGTTCACGAGTAATTCGTATAGTTTATCTCTGGCTATCATCAGGGTCTGAGGACTCTGCTCTTTTGTGATGTCTGTCGCCAACTGTCGGATGTATACCTCCCAATCAGCGGTCGGGATATACTGGTTTTCTGGTATGGCATTGTTTCCACCAGATTGTACCTTTGCGGCTTCCAACATGAGCAGCGCCTTGCGCAGGTTACGTTCACTTTCTCGTGCAAGCTTGACTGCTACGGAGTTCGGGAGGCCAAAGTCTTCGCGATTCGCTACGATCTTGAGAATTTTTGCGATCTTTCCGAAGAGAAGAGTTGGCAAAGTACGAGGTGGAATGAGTCAGTTAGTTTGGCGAGTCCTAGCGACGGCAAAATGTTCATTCATGTGCACAAGGAGAATAGTCGGTGTGCACGGGTTCTCCAATTTTGTTCAGTTCCGCCCCACGTTGCTGCACGTACCTCGTCTTCCGCAGGCGCCGCGACGCGAATGCCGAGGCAACGAGATCGGAGAGGCGCTATCAGCTTGCTAGGGGAGTCGCAACAAAGAATCAATCGACAGGTCACCGCATATTTTTCCATTGTTCGACGAAGTGCAGCCTGGGCCTGCTTGGTCAATCGATCCACCTGATTCAGCACCACTACCTTGATCCCGGTTTCGGCAGTAGTCGCGACCGGTGCACCATTGTTGCTCTCCTCCTCGGCATCATCGGTGCGTGTTACTCCATCTTGCGCACTATTCTGGAAGTTCACGCCGACGGAGCTTCGGATGTTTTTGGACGACGCAATTTCTTTTAGAACGTCCTGTATGACGAACCGATCGTTGTTTCCGGCATCGCCGGGGCTGAGTTCCATGTGATAATCGGAGGAAATCATATGGATTTCAACGGTGCGTCCGGTCGGTGTAGTAAAAGTTCTCTGATTCAGCTTTAACTTGTGCGCCGACGGTCCGAACAAGGCTCCTAGAAAGGCATTGATACGGGTGCGTTTGCCGGCTCCCGATGGTCCATAGAAAAACAAATGGGGAAGACTGGCTGGATTCTTTGCCAAGGATTTTAGTCGCTGGCTAATTTCGTCGTGGTAATCCAGAGACTCCAGCTCTGTGGGTCGGTATTTGTCAACCCACAACATTTGTGATAGTTCGGACGTTCTTAACGTAGGTGTTCCGCTTCAAGGTTTATTTCGGAATCTAATGGAGCGAAGAGGTATGGTGAAGGCCCGATACTGTATCGAATGAGAGTCTTGTTTCCAGTGGGGGCGGGCATCCTGCTCGTCGACAGAGTTCGTAGTAGTATTATGTAGTACGGTACTTGGTACGGTACTTGGTACGGTACTGGTAGGGATCCTGGAGTAGTGAGGTGCCATCTCCCAATGCCGCGGGCGCGCCATTTTCGAATGGGTTTTGTCTTCGTACCAAATAAACCACGCTTGAAACTTTTTAGCCTACTGCAAGAGGCACGTACGATGCAGTACTTTACGTAGTGTGTTGTATGTAAGCTACCAACGAAGTACAACAATTTACAATACACTACAGTACCAGTACCTGGTACAACTACGTGTAACTGGGAGCGATGATTCTTCCTCCTCCTTACTTACTTTTGGTACAGTAAGATGATACAGGTATGACGACTGACTGATTCCGAAGTAAATACAAGTACCGGCCGGTACGTACGAACTACGACCGGTACTTGAACGGATCGGACTAGAACCTTGTTCTGTACTTTTCCGGTATGTATGAACGAAAGTAGAAGTTACCATGTGCCGTACCGTACGTACTGTACTGTACGAAGCTAAGAATAGTTGTAATAGCATACGGTACTGTAGTCATAACTCATAACCCCTGGTGAACTGACAGCTACGAGTACGAGTACGTGCTGACCGTAGTAACAAAGCGATTCATCTCAGCAAGTCAGAAAGTTTCGAAAATCTCACCGAACTCACGAATATTTCACGTTTTGGAAAACTAATCAATCCGAGACGCAACCAGAGCGTACTACAAGTAGCTATTAGCTATTGGTCACATACAAAAAGTCCGCAATCGGTCGCTGAATCACAAAGTTCAAAAAACATGAGTCACCGAGCAATTCAACGCCTACGACGAGAACGCGAAGCCGAGATATTAGCTTCGGTCAATAACGAGAGCGACGACGACAACGAGGACGACAGTAGCGACGAAGAAAACATTGCTGCGACGAAGAAATCCAATGTTTTCGCTGCAGCTATGTTCGATGACGACTCCGATGATGACTCCGAAAGTGATTCCGATGACCATCCGGAGGAAAACTCTTTTTCGAACGATGAACAGGGCGACCGTGAAGAATCCACTGCGTTGCCAGCGGTGATGAAACAAGGCGGCAATAAGCAAACAAATACTCTGGAGGTGGAAGATTTGGACACTCTTTTGGAAGAGTACAAACTTCAGGACAAAAATCACGAAGTGGTCACCGGAGTAGCTACTAGTAATGAACAAGCTCCCTGTTTTTACGATATCATCACCTCGAGAATGGAGGTCCGAGATTTGGATATTGAACACGTGCGGAGATCTTTGTTTGGAGGCCTAGATGGAGGAGGTGGTGCTCCTGCGTCGTCTGCTCGCCGGAATCACCGACAGCACAATGTCTTTGGAACCCTGATTGACAACTGGCCTCGTCCCMCTCACTATGTCGGAGGTGGAATCGGAATGAAATCTTACTGTGACAATGCGGCTTCCTCCTCTTCCAAAACACTGCCATGGCCGTATTGTGACATGAAAGAAGGAGACGCGCGATGTCCTCCAATCAAAAAGTGGGTCGAATTTGCATACTCCGACAGCTATCTTCGAGATTACGAAGACATGAAGACAATCCAGGCTTCTGGGGACCCCAATGCCCTGGCTCTATTTGTTGCACACCACCCATTCGTTGTAGAAGCACTCCTCCAACTCTCGATTGTGATGTATCAGATGAATCAAAGCAGGGAGGGGCTTTCGTTTTTGAAACGAGCCTTGTGGGTGTTTGAATGCGCAGCACCAAATAGTTTTCTAAAAGTATCAGAGAGGTGTGCATTGATGGACTGTCAGAAAGATGCCAACAAACCGTTCTTTTCGACTCTCTTTCGGCTTCTGCGAGTGAGTTACGTGGGAGGATTGACGCGTACATCGTTAGCATCAGCGCAATTCCTGCTATCTCTCGATCCTTTGTGTGATCCGATGAATGTTTTGCTGAGCATGGATCATTTTGCAGTCAAGTGTAACACAGAGTCTTGTAACAGTTGGATTGTCGATTTTGTGGAGAGCGACAAGGTAGGTTTTTTGAATCGATCAATGCAACCAAACTCTATTTTTTTTAGTGCACACTTCGCTTACCTTTTTTTCATTTCAAACCAAACTCCTTTTTGATCGAACCAACCTATTTCCTTTCCTTTTCTCAACCACAAAAAGGTGTCCATTATGTATCGAGATGACGAGAACCATGAAGTATTTGAATGTCAGCTTCGAGATCTACCTAATTGGAGCTTTTCGTATGCGTTGGCACTCTTCAATCTCTACAAATCAACTTCTTCGGAGGCTTATTCAAAAGAGAGAGCGGATAATGCAATCAGAACTGCACTTTGTCAGTTTCCCTCTGTAATTGGCCAGCTGTTGGAGAAAAACGACGTGGATATCAAGAGTCGCTCATTACGAACAGATTGGCCAACAGTCATTGAATTCATCGACGATCTCATCTGCCAGTTTCAAAAGAATCTTTCCAATGCAACGAAGTCTGACCCCGCAATAAGAGCATATACTTCCCAGGCATATGATACCATTGTTCGAATTTTTGTCCAGCAAAATTTCAAGTCGTGGTCGTCATTTGCTGTGATGAAATGGATGTACGAGAATCTTGTTGCGTTAAAGGAAGAAACAAAAATTGGAGAAGGGTTGAAGGTATCACCCCCTTCGCCTGCTATGATGCGATATGCAAAGGCCAATCCGACCGACTATGAAGACAAGTTCCAAACCATGCCTGCCGAAGCAAATCCTTTTGACCCAAATATTATTGCCCTTGCTCTCAACGTTGATCCAAATCGTCGACGTTTGGTGCAAAGGAATCCACGCCACGCGGGTGCTGATCTCATGGACATGGACGGAGTCGCTTTCGCGTAAGTTACTCAACATGACATTTACTTATGAGCCAAGTGAAAGGCTATGTGCTACGTCGATCTCACATTTTGGCAATACAGTAACAGGAACCAGTATTTCGCAGGCCCTCCAACTGTACTAATAGATCCAGATCTTCCACTTCTGGAAGTGTTCTGGAGAAGTGCTTTGCCTTGGGTTCGTGTTGAAGGTGTTCCTCCTCCAAATAGATAGACTTTATTATGCCTTTTTGAGAACACTAAAATGAGGATTACAAGAAATGATTGAGATAATAACACCCAATAGTGTAACTAAGTGGTTCGTTAGAGGCTAATGAAAGTAGCTATTCATATGTCATCCATCGAAAAAGTAATTGATTTAGTGTGTCGCAATGCTTTCAAGCATATCGAAATACGTAGGGAAGGTTTTGGCCGTACATCCTGGATCATTGATAATTACATCGACGCCCCCGCATGCCGCCAGACTGAAAGTCATGGCCATTCGGTGATCATCGTAAGTCTCAATCAAAACATTGTCATTAATCTTGTTGCCTTCTGGAGGGTGAATGATGCAGTAATCTTCGAATTCTTCGACTTTTGCACCAAGCTTGGTACATTCTGCAACAATAGCCTTCATGCGTTCAGTCTCCTTGAGCCTCCAGGAGTACACATTCCTAATGGTCGTCGGACCTTCGGCAAACAAGGCAGCAACGGCCAGAGTCATGGCTGCATCAGGGATCTTTCCGCAGTCAACATCGACACCCTTGAGTTGAACAGATGGATCACGAGTAACGGTGATACTTTCAGGCCCCCAAGTAACAGTGGCCCCCATCTTTTCCATAACATCGGCGAATGCGACATCACCTTGGACACTCTCGGATCCGCATCCACGAACGGTGACTGTTCCTCCTGTAATAGCTGCACCAGCAATGAAATAACTTGCCGAGCTAGCATCGCCTTCGACCAAGATAGACTCAGGACTGATGTACTTCTCAGATTTCGCGATTTTAAAAGTCGGTCGTTCATCCATACTGCCTTCGATTTCTACATTGACGCCAAATTTCTTCATCAGCCCAATGGTCAGTGCTACATATGGAGCTGAAATCAATTCGTCCTTGATCTTAATTACCACATCGCCGTCGACAACAGGCGAGGCCATAAGCAACGACGACAGAAATTGCGACGACATTTTTCCGCTAATCGACGCCTATGAATGGAGAATTCATTTCAAGCAAGCGACCAGTTGAAGAATAAATGAAACGTTCAGTTTGATCAACGGCGCAAACTTTAATTACGAGCAACCTTCAACATGCTAACGCAAAGATTCGATTCATTTGTTTTCATCTTGAAGCAAAACGTACCTCTCCACCTTTAAGACCTTCAGCGTTAATGGTAACAGGAGGACAACCTGTTTCTTCGACGCAGGTAACTTCGGCTCCAAGTTGTTGAAGGCCGTCAATCAAGTCAGCAATAGGACGCTCTCTCATTCTAGGCACGCCGTCCAACACAAATTTTCCCTGCCCCATACACAAGGCAGCTGCCAGTGGTCGCATAGCTGTTCCTGCATTTCCAAGAAAGAGATCAATATTTTCTTGTGGAATTGGCGAGTTGATTGGCCCAGCTTGACCGCTAACGGTGACTGATTCACTGGAATGTTTCTCAACAGGAACTTTCAACGTATCTAACGCTTCAAGCATGTAACGAATATCATCACTTTCTAGCAAATTGTCAACACGAGTTTCTCCCTCTGATAGAGCTGCGAGCAAAAGACAACGGTTACTCAATGATTTTGATCCGGGCAATGTCACAGTCCCATCCAAACTTTTAATTGGCGTGACGGTCAAAGTATCGGCCGACGAAGCAGTCGACGCCATTTGCAACCCGTTTACAATCGATGCACGTTTCTGATGTCCTTTTGTAGCCAGAGGGCTGAAAGCTGTAACGTGTTCGAAAGGGAGAATGTTGCTCCACAGGGCAAGGCTCGCTAAAGAAAAACGAAGCATCATATTAACAACAGACACTTAGCAGTGAATAAGTATGGATGATTATTATTCGAAGGCTTCTGCCGTACTAATCGATCCTCGCTGTAGTTCAAATCTAGGAGAAGGATGATGAACATTCGGGGTGCCTACTCGTACACATATTTGCGTTCTTTTGCATCATTTTCCAATCACTACACGTATTTTTCTTTACTCTTTCTATCCTCGTACCGTACCGTACTGGACGTTATGTTCGTTGATTTGTTGAACAAGTTCACTGGACAAAACCAGTTCAATGGGAACCGCAGATTTAGAAAACATGCGCACTTTTTGACCGCGCATTAGCAAAGCACGTTTGAACTAAGTCGTGTTACAGTATGGTATCAATCTTTTGTTCGATTTTTTTCGCAAACCTGAATTTAGACCAGTTCATGAAAAAACCGAAAAACCAATTTTTCGTCACACTCAATACAGTTCGTACCGTTTGATAGGATCATACGGTAGCATAATCATTGGCCGCGACCATTTAGCATGCGAAACAATAGGGAGTGGATAATGCGGAGGTAGTGCAATTTTTTTCAAGAAGTCAATTATAAAACTCGGTATGGACAAATTATTCATTTTACGAAAAAATTCAAGACAAGACAAGACAAGCCATGACGACCAGTTCCTTGCAGAAAATTAGAACCCTTGTTTGCGATATTGGAAGTAGCTCAATCAAGGTCGGTATTGCTGGAAAGCTTTCTCCGGAAAAAATCGTTCCTTGCCTTCTCGGTTGCCCCAGATATGCATGTGTACAAAGAGAGGGTTTAGGACGAGAAATCTTGGTCGGTGAAGATGCATTGAAAGGAGGGAAACATCAAAAGATTGGGTATCGATACCCAATAACGGAGACCGGACATGTCCAAGACTGGAAGGCTCTCGAGATTCTGCTGAACACTGCGTTCCAAGTTTTATGCCATCAAGATTATGGTCAATACAAGGTTCTCATCACAAAGCCTTACAATATGAAGAAAGCAGACCTTAAAACGCTGGTTGATATTTTCGTCGTCAACCTAGGATTTCGTGCTGTTGCAATGCACGAGCAAGCAGCACTAGTACTCTACACTCAAGGTATCGAGACAGGGGTCGTAGTAGAGTTGGGTGAATCGATTTCCAACATAGTGCCTGTCTACAAGGGACATGCAATCCCAACATTGGACCGATCTTTGGCCGTCGGTGGTAGATCCATCACATCTTACCTTGTCAAACTGCTTAGGCTCAAAGGGTTTCAATTGAGTGAAAAGGAAGACTTAGAAATTGGCCGCAAAATAAAAGAAGCAGTGTGTTACGTTGCTTTAGATCTTGACACGGACGAACGTCTAGCGGCAGATACTACAATTCTTACGGAGTTATTCAAACTTTCTGACGGCACGGTGATCTCCGTCGGACGAGAAAGGTTTGGTGCGGTAGAAGCCTTATTTAAGCCGGACTTGTGCAACAGTGAATCAAATGGGTTATCGGACATGATTTTTGAGGTCATCAAAGGAGCAGGCATTGATTGCCGTGCTGACCTATACCGCAACGTTATCCTTTCCGGAGGCACCTCACTCCTTCAAGGCATGCAAGCGCGATTGGAACGCGATCTGAATCGTCGATACATGAACGACGTTCTAGATGGAGAGCAGTCGCGATCGCTTGGGTGGAAGCCCCATGTTCAAGCTCCAGTGTCCCGGAAGAATCTTGTTTTTGAAGGGGCTGCTTTGTTTGCAGACTACATTTCTAATGATGCAAACTACTGGGTCAGTAAGGAAGAATATTATCAAGCTGGTATACAGCAAGTCCTAGATAAATGTACCATGTAAGTAACGGATCCAACTTCGATCAAACATTGCACCGAAGATTCGAACCACCACTATTGATACACGAAAATAACTTTATAATTACCCCAAAATAGGTAGTTAGGTAGTATCTTATTTTTTCTTCGCAATAACTTCAGCAACAGCCTGGGCCAAGTAGATTGGTTTAAATTCTTTCAGTGACATTGACTTATCGGATTCAGCATAGGCAAGCTCAAC